TTGAGCATTAAAACTTTCACGAACAGTGTAAAAGCAGGACTTCGTAAGTGCAGCCCCAAGTATGGTAACCGCAATCCCCCTTTTAACAACTTTCGAATGTGCGGATGTGTAGTGAAGGATGCCCTTTTTTGACCTAGGAGAGAAACTCCAGCAGATATGGTTTGTATGAAGAGATAACGAAAGGTCCAGGAACTGTAACTTTCCGTCCGATGGTTTTTCAACAGTGAATTTAAGACCAAAGCCGCACCTGGAAAATACGCTCATAACCTTATCAACGTAATCACCTTCAACAGACTTGGGATACACTAGCAAAAAATCGTCAACGTATCGGAACACCTTTGACACTTCTGATCTGCTAAGGGCACCTTCAATAGCTCTATCAACACTTGCTAGAAAAATATCACTAAGAACGGGGGCCACGCATGATCCTATGCACACACCTGACCGCTGCGTAAAGGTACCATTGTTCCAGCCAACGATCATAGAGTTCAAATAGAATTGCAGAAGTTCTAGAAAGCCTTCTAAAGAAACACCACTAGAGTTTCTGAAGGAGAGCTCCCCTTGCTCTTCAATGCAGGACTTGACTGAGGCAAGTAATGCTTGGTGTGGAAGAGAATAAAAAAGGTCTTGCACGTCAACACTGAACACAGAGTGGTTGTTGAAATTATTATTCTTGAAAGCTTCCACTACTGCATTGCAACCTCTTTCTAATGAGATTGCTCACGCCGACGCAACACTTTCGAGTCTGTCTTCACCACCGTTTGCGAAGATGAGAAAAAGTGAAACAGCCTAATATTCGACTCAAGATGTCGACTTGCGTAGCAGGCGGCGCAAGAACTGCAGCGCAAGCAGCCCCACCCTGAACAAATCCTGAGCAAGCATAAAAGCTTCCTAAAGACGATAGTGCAATTGAATGCCAAGGTGCGAGCGAGCTAAACATAAATCACGAAAATAATCCCTGGAGAAAGGGAACAAGGAGGACAAAGGACGAACACATGCAGGGGTCCCTTGTTCGATACCAGGACCGGGCGGATTCTTTTCGGTCGCGCGTCAGTCACCTACCGAGCTGTGTTTGGAGTTACGTGTTTGTCCTTTGTCCTCCTTCACTCTTAGAAATAGGGGGTGTAAAGGGGCACACCCCTTGTCCCAGATGTAGCGTCCCAAAACTACATTTGAACGTTCAATCCACTGACGTTTAGCGGGCGATACCAACTTTTACGAGCGGCTTGATAGTCGTGGGATGTAACGTGCTAAATAGCTAATGTGGGCATCAAAGGCTAGAGGAAAATAAAAACACCGAGGTTTTGCAGCCGGGCCAAAAAAACCTCGATTATCTTACTGTAGCCTTTAATGCGTACATTAGGTATTTTAATAAGTTGTATGGGTCGACTATCAAGCCGCTTGTGAAAGTTGGTATCGTCGGTTTGACGTCTGTGGACTGATCGTCGAATTGTTGTTTTGGGTGTTACATATCGGACGAGGGGTGTACGCCTATAAAACCCCTATTTATTAGAGTGTTGTTCCCCTTCTCCGGGGATTATTTTCGTCAGTCCCTAAAGACGCCCGATTTGGTGCGAGCTCGCTTGGCGATCCTCGGCACGAGTGTTCGTAATGAAAAATGAGCTAGCTCGTCTGTTTCCTTTGTTTCAAAACACATGACATCACCTGATTAAACTGTGGTAGTCGCACGGGGCAAACCATGGGGTTACTCTTACAGCTACCGCCACTATATGGAATGACTCGATCGTCGTCCGCTTAATTGATTGGAATACAGATCAGGCAGATATAACGAGCTCTTCGCTTTCAAAGGTGCTTCGATTGCACGAGCTGCTATAAGGTTTTCAATACACTGCTACCTTGCCATTAGCCCTTTCTCCGTTTCACGATAGGCTAAAACAGAGTTTATCTCTGCCCGCAACTATATTACGCTTTTGTATCAAATACTGCAGTGACTTGCCCTGACTAACTGCTACAACAACGAATGTTTATTTAAAAATTATATATGAACTTACAACTTTTATAAACACGGGAAGCACAGATTGTGTCGTGCGTTCATTGTCATACGTGCGTTATGATATTTTACTCTCAGTTGTGGGGACCTTTGGGTGGTTTCGGGTGTGCTGCGCACACGGCACAGTCAGGTACGTCTCGGGTTTATCATAATTATTAAAACAAGATGATATTTATTAACGAGGGGATTGTACCGGGAGTATGCATTATTCCTAAGTTTCCATGAATTCTGCTGCTTCAGAGGGTGTGCGTTGCTCCTTGAGAGTTCTCTTGGTTTGCGAAGAGCTCCTTGTGGTGGCTGAAGTACTCACTAAGGTGGGAGGGGCCAGCCATACCGGATACGCGCTCTGTTGGCTGCTTTGCTATGTTACGTCGTACGCCCACCGAGCTATTCATTGGTGCGTTGTGATCCGTTCCGACGATCCACTAGGATACCGCAGGCTCCAGTGTGTCCTACTTGGGTAGTGGCCTTGAGCTTATATGTTCACTCCTAGTTGCTCCGAGAAATGGTGTTGAACTGGCTGCGAATCGCACGGTTCGGAGCTGCAGTTTTACTAAGCCACTTCGTATATTTCTATTGTAACAAATACGTATGCCTAGTTATACTACATATAATTAAGTATGCGGAGCCGTGGCCTCTATACACTCCGTGCGGGAACTATATGGGGCGCTTTGAAAAACGCGCGTAGCGCCCCTGGCGGAGGAGCTGGCGTTCGACTGTGAGGCGTGTTCAGCAGCCTGCGGCGCCTTTTCGCATGCCAAGCAGTGGCGGCGGAAGCGCGCACGGACGAAACTTTTGCTTTTTGAGCCGATAAGTTAAGGGTGACGTTGCATGAGTACTGGGGTAGACCTAAGAAGGGCATCTAGCTGTTCTCCACTTCTTATATATTGAGTTTGAGTCGTTATTAGGAGTAATTTCTCTAGGTGCGGCCGAAAAAGGAGTTGGAGCAATTTTCCGAAAAACAAGACGGCCGCCACTTTGATTGCTCTGGGTGGGAAACTTATTTCGCTTGTCGCTGTAAACCTAGGACTGCTGGAACGATGATATTTGGAGGCGAGTGAGATGTTCACCAAGTTTGTGCACGAAGTGTGCCAAGTTTCATTAAGACAGCCGGTGTGAAAGTTAGGTTTCTAATGAATAAAGAAATAAAGCTGTACGGGATATCCAATATTCGACCCAAATGTTGTGTTGTAGCGGGCTGTGTAAAGCGCAGATTTGGGCACACAGGTACTTGGTCTTGACAGAGACATGACACAGCACTTATTATACAAAAAAAAAGGTGGCATAGGGAAACCAGGTGAAAATTTGGTTTGGGCGGCGTAACTCAATGGGAGCCGGTTTTGACCATGAAAAGGCTGTCAAGAGAATATTACTGGTCGGGGGAGGTGGAGACTTTAGAGGTAGGAAGGGACTAGGGTGGACTGTACTTCCAATTGAAACAACTTTACGAAAGGTGGTTCCAAAGCCGAGAAAACAAAGTTGTCGGCCAAAACACGGTTTGCCCGCCAAGGGCTTTTGCGGTCTGCTGTTGTGTAATAACCTGTTGTGCGAGGTGCTGATTTTCGGCTCACAGGTACTTTGACATGACCGTCACTTGGCACAACACTTATTATAACAGAAAGAGTTGGTATAGCGAAACCAGGTGGAAATTTAGTTTGGGCGGCGTAACTAAATGGGAACTGGCTTTGACCGTCAAAGGCTGTCAGATAATACTACTCATCGTGGGAGGTGCACACTTTACAGGTAGGAAGGGACCAGTGGACGGTAATTCCAGTTCGAACCACTTTGCAATGGGTGGCTCTAAAGCCGAGAAAAAAACAAATTGTTGTCTACAGAACTCGGGGTGTCAGTGTTTCCACATCCAAAAGGAGGCTGATCAAGAAAGAAAGCACACCACATAAACTTCCATACTCAAACGTCGATTCTCCAGTGATTCCGAGTTTCATTGTTGTTTTCTTTAGACTTATATTTGTCACTTTTTTTACCGTTCGAATCTTTCTTCATGAAGTACAGATTGCGTGCCATACTTGTCCGGAAATATCATCGACACGGACGGTGGGGACGAAACTTCTTTGGAGGGCATTCCTCAAACGAAATTGGCACTGCATACCCGCGAGTGTGGGATGGCGTTTCAGTTCGTCCCATCGGCGCTAACAGATGTAGGCGTTACTGGTACGAAAACAAACGCAGAGCGCAAACCGGCAGTGTAGCTAGAATATGTCAGCCGTGCCGACACAGTGGCAGACATGATCGGGAGACCAAATTCCTCGCGTCGTACGGCACGGCTTCATCGTTGTCGCGTTTCCACAAAACATCGGCGAGGTGAAAAACTGTGAAACATTGTCTCCACGAGATACGACGCATAACTATTGAAGCACTTAATGACGCAGCACAGGCAGCAAGCACTCCATGCTGTGAACCCAGCGCAACCGCACCACTCCGACTTCAATGCGTACCAACGTACGCGGCGTGGTTTCGGTTTCGTTTTCTCTGGGGTTCTCACTGCCTACCTTCGGTACCGGCCGCGCGGCGGCGTGCCAGTCGCGTCGCACGGAGTGTATATGTCTGCTATTGGTTGTGTATACTTTATGTGGTCTTGACTTGCATGTAACGCTTTTTCCTCACGCTCGAGCATAACGTGTTTCCCATAAAACGCAGATTCTAAACACATTATGTGTTAATAGTAATTAAATATTGGGAATTTATAATTCGTTGTACTCTAAGTCAGAGCGTAGTCAAATTCTATACTACATACAGATATACGCATCCTGAAAGCACAAGGTCACGGCGGTTGTTTTGGATGGAAGAACGATAAAAAAAAGAGCCGTGACCTTCCATTTCGTATCCTCTTGATTGTCCTTAGGCTCGTGACGTGTGCTGTACTCTCACTTACAATAAAAATAAATATATTTTGTAAAAATAGGTGGGGTCTTTTACAAAATCTAATTTTCGCTCTTGTTGATGTAAACGTTGTTCTCCATATTGACAGGAAATACCATGGACTGCCGAAATCAGAGCAAGGGGCAACTTCGCCGTAGCCTACACAAGACCCGTAAATGGTTCCAATATGTGGTTTTATCACATCTCAAAGATTCAAGATCCGCTGCTGAAACGCATCGGAGGTGGGCAAGTTCAGTTCATGTCCAGTGGAACCTTCACAAGCGTGGGCGGAAGTGACACGCGGCTTCAACTGACACAGTTCGATCTCATCGAGGAAGACAAACCACGATCGAATTCGACAACTTACAGTATTCATCGTGATAGTTCAGCAACAGAAGCTGGTTTCCCCCATAATTCATAAGTTGGCATCTTAAATCTATCCGCCTTTTAGCAGCCAACAGTACCTATACACAGGCTTTTGAAAACAAGTCTCCTGGAAGCATCCTAATGTCAGCTGACGTCTTTGCCATGTAAAATCTTTTAGCGAAACGCCGTTCATCGCCCAGAGACATCTAGATGGCTTATACGCAAGGTCCTCTCCACTGTTTAGACAGCTTTTAACCTTTAAAATATTATCTGAATGCATCCCAAACGCTTGAGCGGGATCGAGCCACTGTATTATTCCGGTGGAATAGCTGTCGGATATTAGTACCAAATGTCGCTAAACAGAGCATCTCAAAGGTAATGTTTTTTGTTTTTGTTTTTTAGACCCACATATACGGAGAACGTAAATTAATTAAAACAAAACAAGTCGATTGACGTTTTAGCAATTCGTGATCTTTAAGCATTCTTGTCCCATTAATATAAGCGTCATTGGTGGCGGCGATGGGCATTGAAAAATATGCAAAGAGAAACGGAGAGTTTTTGACTACGTTCATGCATGAAGGGGGCCGCAGCTTCGTTGCCAAAATGAAACATAAAGGTGATAAGTAAAAAAATGCCTATGTTTGAACATCCTAACAGCGCGAGGTTCTTCAACTGGCGACTTTCTATATTCATAACAGTCTCGTAGGGAAAGGTACTGAGTGCAGTTGAAAGAATCAAATAAAGGCAAAATGAACAGAATCACGACAGTCTTGCTTGCTTTTTTAACGATGTATGGTTAATGTGCATATCTAGTTTTAATATTAAGCTTCACTTTAATAGACTAGATAGAAATAAATGCAGAAGTCGCTGCTGTAACTACGCTAATTCCGGGCGAACTGTTTAAGCATTTAGCGCACAGGTTCCAACTCAGCGAAGGATATAATTTCAAACATCGCAGCCATTGTAATATATATTTTTAGACGGTTTGCATAGGTTTTCTACAAAAGACCAGTCTGTTCACTCGGGCGTCGTTGGTTACAGGAAAAAGGCGTTGCCGCTGCGCCTCGGTTTTACGTTTTCGCGTACGTTGCGCACACTGGGGAAACGTAACCCTGTGGCCACACCTCGGGGCCATCGTAAGAAATGTTTGCGTCAACAGCGGCACGTCGTTGGAAGCGTGCGGAAAGACTCTCTCCTACGCGTAAGAGGGAAAGGGCAAGAAACCAGCGGGACAGGGCGAAGCAGCACGGCGTGAACCGCGCCGCTGCTCCGCTGTCTCACGAGATCACACCAGTCCAGTCCCCTCCAAACCACGACCGTCCAAACCAAAGACAGCACTCCTAACGCACTTCAAAAGAAAACGCGCAAGGTCAGTTCACTCAAGTTCCACTTCGCCTCATTTCACTTTATTGTTCTAAAGACCCGGTTCCGGGTTGGGTTACAAAAACCAACGAACATGGGTACTGCAATCCCCCAGGGCTTAAGTTGCAACCCCACCCTTGGTTAGTATGGTTCTGAACCAACAGATGGCGATGGGATAGCCTTCCAGGCCTGTACGTTAAAGCGAGAAATCGTGTGTGGTGGCGCTTCAATACAGCGGGGTATCTTTCTATATCCTGAATTTGACATCCCGGGGCCAGTTTTCTAGAACGCGAACCGTGGGTTAAAGTTAACTATTGTCCCTAGAACAGGGAATTCTAGGTCACGTGACTGGGAGAGCAGGGACGCCAAGGGAGGAGCAGTACCTACAAGCAAAATGGCCGCGACGTCGCTTAAAGGAGCTGTGCAACGATATTCAGTTGGAATGTTTTTCACTATACACGAACTTACTGGCACTAGTGGAACTCAAGGATACTTGCACGCAACGCCACTGGCCAAGAAACTCCTTTGTTGCGGTGAAATTTCAAGGAGAAAAGCAATTATTTCCGTTCAATCTCTCCTTTGCAAAATTTGATGACATAACCTGGGGATCGCAGAACACCCAATTGACGATATTTCAATGCGGTTCATAGATTGGACCCGAGTCCTGCGTGGGCACTCGATTTGGGCTCGTGATAATTACTAGCTCGAGATGCATTCGGGTAGTCGCTCGCGTCCAATCGCTGCAACGACGACAATAGCCGAGCCATAACAATGTCTGGAACTCAGCGCGTGTCCTGTGCTTTGCCAACCCCAGCGCGTGGCTATGATCAACATTGGCGGCATATATAATCGGCTCCAGATCGCGTGGCCGCTTGTTCTGGCTGCGAGTTGAGGCGGTGAACGCTGCTCGTTTTTCTTTAAATTGTTTCTGGGACTTCTATTGCGTGAAGTGAAAAACGAACGCGTGTTTCATAGGTCGTTAACGTCAGGGATCTGTTCTAAGCGGTGTTTGCGCAAAGTACAAAAATTGTTGCATCGCCCCTTTAATGAGGGCTAACAGTTCTTGGTGCTGCTGAACATTCATTTCGATCCGGCTGTTATATTAATGACGCACCATCAACCTATTAGCACGTCAAGCAAAGCGGTAGTTCAAAGGGACTACTAAACTAACCGACGGCAGCATCTGCAGCAGTCCCAGATCCAAGACATGACGGTACATAAGACTCGCAAGTGTTTTTATGGTGAGTAAAAAAATGTTTTGGGAACGAGTGTTGGTATATATTTATACTAACACGTTTAATTTGTTACACTATGCACGCCAACTCGTGAGCAGCGATTACTTTGCGAAGAAAGGGGGTTATCCTCGATAAACTCTTCGTTCCGTTTGAACAGCTGGGACATTGTACTGGTTTTTTGTTCGCGGTGCGCCAACAGTATGCCGGCAGCATCGAGGTTTCTGCGTATCCCCGGTGGCCAGAAATTAAAAGGAGAGGAGAAGCCTAGCTCCTCGTCACCGGTGGATTGGTTCGGCAAACGGAAGAGAGGGCAAACAGTTGAGATCAGCAGGAATCGTAGAAACGTGCGTCGCAAGGAACAAAAACGAGACTACAGCATCGGCGTTGCCAGACTGGAGGGCGCACGGGAAAGTCATACGTTGTTTATGGCGAAACATATTGAAGGAAATGTTTCTTACATTTTTAAATATTCGTCGGCAAACTCTAGCATAGTAGCTAAAATTTCTTCGTACCATCTGAAGCAACTAAATTGGTCTTCAAGTACAATATTTCTATATTTTGACTTAAAATACCGTACTAGATCGATAACAACCAGCGGAAAAAGAGGATAAACAAAATGACTGCATGGCTTGTTTCACCGATAGATGGCGCATCTTACTGCACAATCAAAAATAATTATTGTTGTTCTATATCCAACCGTTTATTACAGTACCTAGGTACTTTTTCCTTCCTAGGCACCTTGGTTTACCAAAATGGGTTTACCCTCGCTTCGAGAAAACCGGCCCTGGTTTTTCGCTTGTTTTTCTCTGCACGAGCTTTCTTTGGAGCGCACGCGGCTGCGCCAGTTCTCGTGCAAGGGGGCCAGTTGCCTACGCTCCGAGCTCACGTCTCCAGCCAATGTGGTCAGAACAAAACGCGAAAATCGTCCTTAGCCAAATGGCGACACACATGCACAACAAAACAACCGACGGGTTGAAAAATTTAAAATTGCATGTGCTCCGTTAGCACGCCGCGGGGATTCCGAAGGCCAATTACACATACTTTAATATGATCAATTTATATGGCGGGCCGGGCTTTTTGTCGTGCGCGCGTTTGGTTCTTTGTGGTTTTCCAAGAAAACGTGATGACGTGATAGAGTTGGGTTTCCAAAATTCTAGCTTAAAGGGACCATGAAATGATTTTAAAATCGAGTTTCATCCACCGCACGTCGTAAAAGGTGTGAAAAGAAACACAAAAACACAAAAATAGGGAGCCAAAAAAAATTCTTCGCTATAGAACTTTTAAAAGAAAACCGGACTCTTTTGCGCCTTCTTTCCTTCGGAAGCTCTCTGCCTTTTCACTGCAGAAACGGTGCACGTCAGCCGAATCCACGTCGCCTATTGGGTAAGAGCCTACCTCACCAGCACCGCGATCGTAAACAATAAATAGCCGGCGAATGTTTTCTAAAAGTTTTGTTAAATAATATTCAGATCCACATTTTGTAGCATAATTAGAGATTTGACGAAAATTGCCGAATTTGATAATGCTCAGAGCCAAGCGCCATCTATCGTGTGGTAAACGAAGCAAGAAAAAGACCCTACTACGCCTGCGCACTCAATCCCCGAGCGTCGTCGGCGTCGTCTGCTAGACGGGTTTGCTTCTGGTCGCGCTTTCTTTGCGGAGCACTTTCGTTTTCTGGCTGCTCGAGTAGTGTTTGCGTTTGTGATCGATCGCTCGGTGGCTATGCCGAAGGGCTGCAGTGTACCGAAGTGCCCGAATTACAGTTCCTACAGTCCGGAGGTTAAAAAGAAACAACTGCTGTTTCACCGCCTGCCACTCGATGAACCACGTAGAAGCACCTGGTGCAGGCTCATCGGTTTGAGAGACCCCGGGTCTACGGTCATTCTTGTATGCTCGGAGCATTTTGACACCGAGCGTGACTACAGCCACATCCACAGTGTTCTCCGTGAATGCGGGCAGGTTCCAAAAGCCCTCCGCCTGAAACCCGATACGATTCCGAAACTTCGGCTACCGTCGCCCCCCGAACAGGAGAGAGTCGCCAAGCGTCAAAGGACCACGGTGAGTCACGTCGCGAGCATCAAACGAATTTCACCATACGGAGGATAACGAGTGCATTAACTCTACTGTTAACGAACAGTACGATCTGCATGTGCTAAATTACTGTCGAGCCATTGCGGATCCGCAACCTCGGAAGGGAGCCGAAGGACGCGCCTTCGGTGCTGTACTCAAATTTCTGTGGGTATGCAATCAAAGCTACGACCCCAAGCTACGGCTCGCGCACGTACGTTGAGTGTCGATCATTGCTACGCAACAAGATGCTCTTTCCTTCCCCCAAAATCCCGCAGAAAGTTGCTCTCGAGGTGCTACTAGCATGAGCTCGAGACTTTTAAAGATGAGGTGCTTGCGCAAATAAATTTTTTTGGGGAATGTTAAGACAGCAGGGCTGTTGGTCTGCCTCGAGTGGACGACGGGTCCTGCTGTAGACGAGAAATAAAATTTAATCTGTTGAATACTACTGTTTTTCTTTTGTTTTTACTTTACCAAATGTTGTGTCACACTACTAGAACAATTGAACTTAAGGCAGCAAGGAATAAACAAGCTGCTTTTTGGACTTCAATGGATATGTGACATGTCACTTCCCTCTAGGGACTTGTAGGGACTTACTGATTGTTGCTTTTACTGATGATTTAAATTTATAGATTTGACGTAACCTAGTCGATATGTCAACTTCCAGGTTGTATAATGTGGTCAATTTTTCTTTACCAGGATGATGATTCGGTATCGGCGAATGAAGCACCTATGGAGAGTGCACCTCTTCAAGAGTGCTGCTGCTGCGTAGCCTGGAAAGCAGGAGCAGACACTACATATCGCTGCATACAAGAGAGGCCAGCAACACACGACGTAGCTCTGCGAGTTGATATGCAAGGCAAGGCAGCTATGAAGGATGCATCTGTGCAAGCTTCAGTGGCTACTCAACAAGCAGCTACACACATCCAAGGTTCTTTGCTTGGTCGAACGGCAGTCGGTAAGCATTCCAAGAAACATCGGCATTGGCTCTCTAGCCATATAATGGCAACCATAAAATACCTGTATCCAATTAGTCTGTATGGTTTGTTTCTGGAATGTATTCGTTGGTAGTCACTGTCATACGCGAAGGCCCAATCCTCGGGGGATCCAACAATACCATGTATAGTTACTAAACTTTTCCTTATGCCGTTGCACATTCTCTTTGCCTGGAGACACTGAACAGAGATGTAATAATTGTTTATTGTTTGCCTGTGGTCAGGCACGCAGGTCAAGGAGGCCTATGCTGTGATGGCCTGTGCGGTGCAAACGGAAAGCTGGGTGCCTTCCTTTCCCGTGCTTCCTACCCCCTCACTGCTTTCACCAGCTTCCCCCCTTGAAGACGACCTTGATCGCGGCCAAGAAAAGGATGAAGACTGGACCCCACTCAGGGAGCAGTCGGAAGACGACACGTGTTCAGGGTAGGGTGCCTCCCTTTCTTTTTTTTTACAGGCACAGTTCAAGGAAATATTGAAGAGGTAAACATTAGTATCTCCGTCTTTGAGACAATCCTACACTTTATGCCTGTTCATGTGAAAGAGAAGCTGATGTTCCCTACTCGATTTACTAACGAACAAGAATACCCTGTATACATTTTTGCATCCAACCAGGTTGGGAACTCCCCTTATATTTCAGCTCGACCTCGCTCACACGCTATCGTTTTTTGTCCGCATGCGACGACTATGTGGCACTGTATCAAGCTACACCTGACCTAAATTTGAGTTTTGTTTTCTGTAGCTGTTTGTGGCCTTGTAGGGGCCCTAGCTGTCTGTTGCTTATTGCTGATAAAAAAAAATGAAACAACGAACACATTTAGGTGTTGTTTAATCATATATTAATTTATACTCCTTCTAGGGATGAAACCGTAGAATCCGGGTTGCCCCTGCAGGATGAGAAGAAATATGTTGTCTTCGAAAGCTGCCTGCTGGAACTGTTTACCATCTGCCGGACTTGCCTTATGAAGTGCGAGCCCAGCCTAACCGTGAAAGGCACCCTGGTGAAGGTGGAGACCATCTGCAAAGACTCGCACTACCATACCTGGAGCAGTCAGCCAGTCATCAAGGGCAAGGCTGCTGGGAGCTTGCTACTGTCTTCAGCAATCTTCTTTTCTGGAGCTAGCCCAACAGCCACATTACGTGTGCTGCAGCTAATGAACGTCCAAGTCATGACGCTGAGGATGTACTTTAACTATCAGTCGGCATTTCTCATCCCCACTGTAGAGAAGGTGAGAATTAAAACAAACTACTGTTAAGCTGAAGACAGCGCCCAGGACAAAGACTGAGAAAAGCACACCGGACGAGCGCCAAAGTAAAAACTGTGGTTTTATTTAAAAAAAAAAAAAGATCATCTCATGCAAAAAGTTTACAAAAAGTAAAATAAAATGTTAAAGATGACGTCAGTGTTCAGATTTCAATGAAAGTTTGTTTATAGAACCATTCTTTAAACATTTGTTTACACATGTGAACACAGACGTCACCTCGGGCAGGTTATTTAGCTTCTCTGTTGGCTTTTTGCTTAAGCCGTTTTTCAATACAAATTCAGCCATTTGTTCAGGACTCGTCCTGTGATCTTCTTTTTGTCTTTATCCTTCGATGCGCTGTATTTACCTTGATGATTCATGAACCTACTTGGCTGCATCTCCACTTTACTGTCGATGCCATTTACTATCCCAATAAATTGAAAAATTGTAATATTGCTTGTTATAGCATAATTGTGCAACAGATGTGCTGTGCTTATCTTCATGATTAGGTATGGACAAAGCACCAGGATGAGCTGTTGGAGCAGCTAAAAGACAGTCCTGTCGACTTGAGCGGAGATGGAAGATGCGACTCCCCAGGCTTTTCCGCAAAGTACCTGACTTACTCCGTTTATGCTCCTCAAATCAACAAGATCTTGCACTGTGAACAAGTTCAGGTTGGTGAGGTAAGAGATAATGATGATTGTGATGTCATAGAAGTCAATGTTAATACTTGTGGCATGCAATACAACCGAAACATGTTATTTCAAATATAGTTTATGCCAGGAGTTACAACCCCTGTTTCCCCTGTCAGAATTATAAGGCGCTAAGCATATGTAGCTAACAGCCAAGGAACCCACTCCACAGTCTCAGAAGTGATAGAATAAAGTGATGCAAAAGCCTGCGAACTTGGTAAATAGTGCCCAAACTAGGGAGCACTTCATGGCTCTGTATTTACGTATGGTTCAGGTCTACTGAAATAACTGCTAGATTGGAAGAAAAGCTATACTTGGAGGCTGGAACAACCAAGAAAATGTAAAGACTGAGTGTACAGGCAAGCTGGTGGTAGCTAATCATGTAGCAACACCCGATACTATATGCTACAGAAAAGGAAAAACTTTTAGCCGAAGTAACAAACACAGGTTTGTCACTTCGACTAAAAGTTTTTCCTTTTCTGCACTACAGTCTCATATTTTAAACGGCATGACAAGAAAACGTGGAAGTTTGTGGAACCATTAAGTTTTTGGGTATCTAGTTTGAGAAGACATGATTCAGGGTAGAATTCGGGCATTTGTGTACCTTATGCAGTGTGAGGAAGTACGGGCCAGTGTCCAGATGGAGAAGCAGGGACTTATTCGCTGTCTGGAATTCCTGAAGACCAAGGACATCAAGGTGCGCTCTTTGACAACTGACCGACACCGCTCAATAGCGAAGCACATGAGGGAGGTGGAGCCTGAAGTTCTTCACTACTTTGATGTGTGGCACGTATCGAAAAGTAAGTTTAATATTCATTTTCTTCTTAGCATAATCAAAAGGAAACCCCGAAAGCACCTTATCTGACGGAAAGTCGGAATCAGCGATGACTAGGAGTTTGTTGTCACTGCAGCTTGTTTGGACATGCCAGCCGACGGTGGTTGATAAAGAAAGAACGGGCACATTTGGGAATACTGCCTGCTTACTGAGCGATTGAAACACTTGTTTCAAATACGACAAGAAGCTGCATGAGCAAAAGTTGTACGAGTTTTATATCCCCAAGCGTGGTTGCTGGCTACAAGTCCCATTGAACCATAGGGTCGCACTTCGATGTAGTCTTGCTTGTGCTCACGTTTTTGCTATTGTTTGAAGGGGATCAGTTGGCCTCCATCAATAAGCACCATTTTGTAGTGAACAGTGATGTGATTGCTGCGCTATTGGGCCAAACTGCGCCAAAGTGCGTAACCTGCTACATCTTGCTGCATTTTACCAAAATGTAAGGAATTCGTGCCAACGTTGCGCCCAAACTTGACTTCAAAAAGTAATGCTGAAAATATAATATCTGAGGCCTTGCAAATTGGCCCATTGCTGCTATAAGAATGTGAGTTTTTAGAACTTTAGATTATCGCGTGAAAAACACACTATTTGATCTGATTTTGCATCAAGCCCTCGCAGTACTGAAGTTCCTCAATAATTCTTATGTTTGTGTTCTGTTCTGGCAGGTTAGTTAGCTTCGTTGAGTGCATTCTCACCAAAAATTGGTGTACTGCTGTGAAGCGGCAACCACGGAGTTGACATCGTTATTTTGCGTGTGTTGCTTTGCTGCAGCGCACCTTTCTGCTAAGGGCAAAGCATTCCTCCAAAGCGAGACGTGAACGTTTTTTTAATAAAACTGCGACTTCTATATATGATCGACTGACCGTGATATCCTGGCGGTACCTTTCTTCCAATTCTAGACTTGTCAAGTATAGCTCTCTATTGCAGAAAAATTTTATATGGACTCTTCTTTAGGTGTATTTTATGCCAACTTTTTGGTTTAGTCATAAGTTTTACATAGGAATGAGCAAGTTATAACTAAATTAGCAGGAGTAATGAATGAAAGCTTGGGAAGAACCACAACGAGTTAGGCAGAACTGTTTTATGGAGGTGTATGAATTGTTTACAAGCGAATTGTTATGAAGTTCTAGATATAATAAACGAAAAGTAGCACAAGAGCATGGTACAAAGAAGACAGGGACTTTTGTTTTTTGTTTGCTATGTTTAATTAATCAGCCCATTAAATAATTTTAGTTCTAGATATAAAATAAATTGTAATTTCACAATCAAATTAGATTTTTTTTTCTTTTCTGAATTAAAAATTTTAGTTTTATCACAACCTCTAGAACTTCTAACATTATTTCACTTGGATTCCGTACCTAAAATAACCATTCACCGCAGTTTGTGCTGTCCGTCATCAGTCACCTTGTTACTGCGTCTGGTGCTTCTATACGCAACTAAGCAGCTAGTTTTGTGTTTGAGGAAATCATCCTGCTGTGCAATCAATGATAACAAAAGGTTGCACATTAGTGAGAAGGCAAAGTAGACACTGCCTAGTTGGATATGTCAACACATGAATCTTAGTAATATTTGCAGCGTTATAAATGAAAATGAAGTGTGCAATCATGCACTAAAAGTTCTTTTTGCTGCTCCAAAACGACCTAGACCTATCACATCATTGAGTTGTGTATTTCACTCCAGGTATAAAGAAGGCTATCACAGCGGCAAGCAAGGCCCCCGGGTTCAGCGCACTTCATGACTGGGTCCAGGCAGCTGCGAATCATATGCATTGGTGCGCCGCAGCAAGCAGGGGCAATGGGGACCTGCTCGTGGAAGCGTGGGGAAGCATAGCACGCCACGTCGCTGATATCCACAATGGCCATGGCGGTCTGTACACTACGTGCCTCCACGGACCCCTGGATAACGTAGAGTGGCTTCCTCCAGGTGAGAAAAAAGAAAGAAAGAAAATAAAAAAAAAGGGATACTACAACGAAATTTCGGCACAGCAGTATCATATCGAACATACCAATATCTTGTTGAAAAAGTCTCGAAAAGGAGTTTTAAAATGAATTAAACGATTCGCAAAGAGCACCTGGTGGATGTCGCTAACGCCTCGCTTGTAATGCCCGTCTAGGAACCTTGACAGCTATAGTCGGTTACAAGTTAAGAAGGTAGTAGAAGCCCCTCCCCACTAAACGTGATGCGCCCGCTTTAGACGCCTCAGCAGTCGAGAAAATAGTTCGCTGAAAACGCCCCTTCTGCTTCAATGGATGGATATTGACTACAGACAGACCTTGTAGCAGGCAGCAGCTTGCGCCACCTAGCCGAGGCAAATTACTCGCTCCAGAAGGTTGACGTAAAAAGACGGCTTCAGTGCAACGAAAATTGTAACTTTTATAAGTAATGCATATATGGTTGTTGGTTTTAGCTTGATAACCTTCCTACTCGAATTAGGTACATTCCGTGTATTTGCTGCGTTTGTTAAAAAAATCCTGCGTTTCGGGTTTTGGAAGTTTCTGCGATTCGCGTTTTGACAATGCCGAAGTCATCCTTTTCCGTTATGAATCCCAACGTGGAGACAGCGGAATGCGATTCCTCCGATTCTTCTTCTTCAAGAGAGTCTGGTGCAGCCTCGCCGCCTACGCCAAGGTGCCTCTACAAGAAGCATAAGAGCAGCGTTGTCCTCAACCGAGTTGCACGGCAGCTGATAATGAACGCATACGTTCAGGTGCAACACGAACCGCCCGTCAAGTCCGGCCAGCCCGGCCTCACTGTGAAGGAGTTCTGCATCAGAGTCAGCAAACTGCTTGGCGTTGGTGTATGCACCATCCTTGAGATTAGGAAGCAGGCGAAAGAAACCGAGGGACAAGTTGTGACACCTTCTCAGAAGCGCCCAGCAAGTGAAGGCAAGAGGCGGCGCAAAGTCAGGTACGGCGAGTTCACGTTGTGCGTGCTGAGATCGTGCGTCCACCGTTTCTTTCGACGAAACGAGGTCCCCACGGTCAAGAAGATAACGGCCGAATTCTGCGCGAGCACTGAACTTCCCTCGTTGAAGGCTTGGACTGTGCGTCGCCTTCTCCACGACATCGGATTCGAGCATGACAAGAGGGAACGAAACTCCCGGTTGATTGAACGAGAGGACATAGTTGCCTGGCAGCAGAAGTACCTGCATGAGATCGCACGTCACCGACAAGATGGTCGGAAGATCTTGTACTTGGACGAGACGTGGGTGACGGTAGGGCACACTGTCTCAAGGGTGTGGGTAGACACGACAGTGGCCTCGTCTCATGACGCCTTCACGCGTGGTCTCTCGACTGGCCTCAAGCAGCCATCGGGGAAGGGCCAGCGTCTTATTGTCACCCACATCGGCAGCGATGAAGGCTTCGTTGACGGCTGCCTGGACGTGTTCCGTGGACAAAAGACCGGTGATTACCACGAGGAAATGGATGGCGCCCGCTTCGAGAAGTGGTTCGACGGTGTCCTCGACAAACTGCCGACAGGAAGCGTTATCGTCATGGACAACGCTTCTTACCATTCACGGCGGTTGGAAGCAGTGCCGACGACGAGTTCCCGGAAGGATGACATCCGACAGTGGCTCACGTCTAAGAAAATTTCATAGGACCCCAAGATGGTGAAGAAGCAGCTGCTTGACATTGTGGCCTTGGTGAAGCCACACCACCTAAAGTACCGTAGGGACACTGCTGCCGAGACAGCTGGCTGCACTGTGGTCAGGCTGCCACCGTATCACTGCGAGTTCAACCCCATTGAACTGATATGGGCGCAGATCAAGAACGGCGCTGCTGCTTGAAACACGACGTTCAAGATTGTCAATGTGGGGAGACTCCTCAACAAAGAAGTTGACAAGGTCACCGCTGACAACTGGATTAATGCTGTCAGGCACGTTATTGACATTGAAGCAACATTCCGACGAGGCGGTGCCACAAGTGCCCACATCCAGCCCATCGTCATCCAGCTCAATGGAGAGGACATCCCGTCCGAGTGACCTGTCTGGTGTCGAGCCCCTTGACGAAGCTTAAGGCCACCATTATGGATAAAGCGTGGAACATCTCAGAACACATAACAGTCCTTTTAAGGACCACTCATTTGCTTTGAGATCGGATTGTTGTTCTCGATCACCACTAACCTCCCGTGTCTCATGTTGTCATGCTTCTCTGCTCGTTGCCATATAGCATTACGATATGCAGCCACCAGACAAACTTTTTATTTTTGTTGCGATAATGTCTAAGCTGGTCAATACATTGCACTGTGCCATGAATCACCAGTATAGATTTCAACTTAACGAAAACAAAAGTTTGCAGCCCATCTACGGCAAAGACATCAGATGCCATATTGACCCTTCCTGCTGTCTAAACATCTTTGCCACGCAGCAAATGGAATTTTGATTGCAAATAAGCTCTTTTTTGTCTAAGAAAAACGACACAACATATCACTGCCAGTGCTCTGCTTTAAAGCATAAATGGGACGTCTGTGGCCATTTACATGACTGAGGCTTCTGGGAATAACAAAGCCGTGTGTTAGCACAGCGGAGAGCGAAATCGCAGTACCAGTACTCTGTTTCAAAGTCTAAAGGGAACGCCTATGGTCATTCACATGACCAAGGCCCCTCTGAAAACAACAATAATGTGTGTCAGGACTGCGGGCAGCTAACTCTTAATGCAAATGACCTTTTTCGAAGCATAAACTGCACGTCGGTGGCCATTCACGTGACCGAGGCCACTCTGAGAATAACAATAACGTGCATCAGCGCTGCGGGCAACTAACTCTAACTGCCAATGACCTGTTTCGAAACATAAACTGGACGTCAGTGGCCATCCACACGACCGAGGCCACTTTGAGAATAACAATAATGTGCATCAGCGCTGCGGGCAGCTAACTCTAACTGCCAGTGACCCGTTTCGAAGCATAAACTGGACGTCAGTGGCCATCCACACGACCGAGGCCACTCTGAGAATAACAATAACGTGCATCAGCGCTGCGGGGAGCTACCTCTAACTGCTAATGATCTCGTTTCGAAACAAACAGGACGTCTGTGGCCATTCACACGACTGAGGCCACCCTGGGAATAACAATACCTTGTGTTAGCACAGTGGAGAGCAAAATGCCAGTGCTAGTGCTCCGTTTCGAAGCATAATAGACGCGTCGAAAGTTCCCTTGAACTTTCGACGCCATTGTACTTGCTTGAAAAATATCGTAAAAACAGCAGTAATCCAGAGATAAACATACATCAGAAATGTAATTAGGCGGTTTGAGCTGTTGCTTGATTCAAACATTGTTGATTTTATTGTTATAAAGACAAATCATTCTGCCACTTGCATTCGGACCAAGATCAGGACATCACGAGTATTCGGTATGTTTTCAATTCTTGATTTAAACAAATATTTCGCATATAACAAAGCCACAATTCATGAAGCGGGAAGCTGCCCTTACAATCAATTTTCATTGACATACTTTTCATCTTTTACAAATTATCAAACCAATGCTGCGATCCAATATTGTGGACACATTTAACTTCTAAAGTAAATTGGAAAAATTGGTGCGTGTTTACCGGTAATACCTCAGGCCGCGATGCGACGCGAGTGGAGGTACACACGTCACGTACCCGGGTTTCGAAGCATAAACATACGACTGTCACCGCCTCGAGAGCAAGCAGAATGTTCGGAAGCATTTGAGAGAACCGAATCTGCTTCCCTCAAATTCTCTGGTATTTGCTCCAAAAGAAGACATCAGCTTCTTAACGTCCAAAACAATATCAATTAAATGTTTGTAACATACGCATCACTGGCTTTATCATTTGTGTGCCACCTGTATGTAACAGCTCATTATTGCGAACGAGGGTGCACCCGCGGGTACTATCGCAGTCATAGAGTACCGTGCAGCTGATTGCAATGCGGAAACTTGAAAAGGATGCCACGTTTCACAGATGAATGCATACTGCTTCGAAGGCGTCATTTCAGTACACAGAGCATTTATTAACGCCAGCAAAGATACGGTCGAAATTGGGTAAAGACACCTACTGTGTTTGCGGTTCACTTATGCCCCTCCGCACAGCCCACTGTACTTATAAAGAAGAGTTTGGTGACCGCTGCATTTTAACGTCGCTCCACGGAAACCACTGCGAAGAAAAGCCTATGCCTTCACGATGCTGAGGCGCAACCTGAGGCAGAGAAGCAGACGGCGTTCGACGTATGTACGATGCTAGGCCTTACTCTTGCATCGAAATTTCCTATGGCAATGCTATCGCTGGATTCTCAAGCTGTCGCGCAGAACCTATTGCGAATAAAAGTGGACGCGGTTACGACTTAGCGACGTATGCTCGGGTAAGTGAAAAACCGCATTAAAAAACAGAATAATTGCTGCAAGATACTCGAGTCGTAGAAAATCTGCCCAGCAGCCATGTTGAAAATATTCATTTGCCAGAACAAGATTGGTTCGGGCAGGTCGTGACGTCACGGAAACAACGGGGCGCAATTGGTGGCGGAGGAATACAAGATTCCCTTTGAGGGGCATTTGCTGCTACCTTCTTGACTTGTAACCGACTATAGTGATGGTGAGTGTCTTGCCTCCGGCCACGACGAGAGAAAGGGGGAAGGAGGAACTCCTCTCTTCCCGAGAATGTCTTTTGTGCGTCGCACAAGTTGCTATTGTCCCCCTACAAGATTATAGAAGATTAACCCGTCACTCAAAATTCGTACAAAAGCAGCCCTTCGGTGGCTGGAACGACTAGGCCATCCTCTCGACGTCAGCCTCGCCGTAGCTTTGCTCGTCCCGAGACGACCTAAGTCATGATTGCGTTGGATGTCACGTGGTCTCCACTGGGCTTTCTCCGAGCGCTTGCCAGAGTGGGCCGTTTATAAGAAAAAAATACAGCCACCAGGCTCAAAATACAAACGTGCGATTGTCATTTACGAATATTGTGGATCATATTCAACCTGTTTTTGAACACGACAGGCACATTTCAAATTTCGTTAAAGTATCCCTTTAAGGTATATGCTGGCATGCGTTATTGTGGTACACCAGAGCACTTCAAAAAAGCAATGTGACAATCTTTGTTCATATGACATATCTAAATTTCCTAAATCTTACTTTAAACGGACAGTTTCAGACAGCTGTCTCGGCAGTACAAGCACTGTGAGCAGCCATACCTCTTTTTCTACCTATAGTAGGCTGCAGGTCAAGACAGTAGGGCGAGGAAAGGTAAGGCTGGAAAGGACAAAGCAAACAGAAGGCTGGAGAGGAGAGATAGAAACCTCTGTCAAGCATTCTGTCTGCTTCCCCCTCCCCAGTCTCCCTTTCCATTACTCTATCTTCTTAAACTGTAACTTACTTTGGTGGTGAAAGTGCTTGTGAGATGCAGACACCTTCAGTGGTGCAACTTTTTTTGTAGTTGAAGTATATCATGGGCAGATCTCATTTGGACTTTACCCTCTTTTTAGGGATGCCTGCTCACGACAAGTTTGCCGCCATCGTGACCTCGAAACGCCTCTTGAAGGACTTGCGCCAGTTGTCGCCCGACACCCAGACATTTTCTCTGGAGTCATTTCACAACGTCTTGAATGGGTTCGCTCCTAAGTCGACAGCATTCTCATCAGAGGGCATGCTTGCCAGGTTGGTATATATATATATATATATTACATACACACACATATACACAAACATACGTGACATGGCCAAAGTTTTAGATCAACATAATGTATCTTACAATACTAAAGTCTGATGGTGAATTCCGCTCGCAGATCTCGAGCGCTCCAAAAGCGCTCCCATTTGGAGCGCGCATATTCCGCTCGCAGATCTGGCTCAGGTTGGTCATCTTCCACTCGTAGATTCTGGCAGCGCCCGCTCCACGGAGCGCCCCAAACTCCGCCGAACTTGCTCTGCGGGATTTCACAGATCTCTCCGGAAGTTGATAGAGCGGCCCACGTGATTTCCGTCTAAATCGGCGGTGCGCACGCGCGGCAAGGTTGGAGAGATTGGCGGGCCGGTAGGGCCACGGCCGGGTGGCCGGGTCGTGGAGTTGGTTCTGTTCGGGTGCGTGGGTTGTTTACTCTGGATTGTGACGGCTCGAACGCTTCTACCTCGCATAGATCAGGGATAAAAAGCCGGGAATGTGGAGTGTGGCAAATCGTAAGCGCTGACATCTGTGATGGTGAGAGAAAGAACGAGAAAAAGAATGACAGAAAAGCCGGAGGCAGACGCAAGGTTAGGCCTATTCATTCTGCAGCCAGTGATTGTTTACCTTTTTACACTGCATTCCGTCGGCGTTTTCTCGTGAAATAAAGCAAGAAGTAGTTAGGCAACGACCGCGCAAGTGATGGTTTGTTACCTCTGGGTTTATTAAAGTCGTACTACAAATCTGAACTCCACTGCTGGCAATCGCTGTCAGTGCCCCGCCGCTTCGAGGCGGCCGAAAGGTATGCGACGGTGCCGAACGCGGACGTCTTCGTTATTTGTGACATGGGTGCCGTGGTACGTATAATTTCGCCCGGCCTGTGTTGCGTGTTACTTCTGCAGCTAAGCAGTGACAGTCGTCACTGGTCGTCGGAAAGATCAGCCGGCTGAGGTGTTGGTGGGCTGGTCAAGTTCGAGCAGCGGCCATTTTGTACGGCGGAGGGAGAAGGGGTGGGGAGGGGTGTGGGGGAGGTCGCTCCAAAAATGCAAGTTTATCTTCCCTTCGTCGATTCGGAGCGGGTCCCACGGAGCGGAATTTTGCCTCCCTCACGGATTTTTGAAAGCGCTCCAGATCTACGAGTAGAATTCACCATGACATTTTTGTCTGCGTATCCAGGGTAATGTGAATATGTGACCCAGCTATACACTAACTCAAGGCTGCTATATCACGCCGTAATTGACAGAACAGTGACTTACATGATGTGATCATAAGTATCCAATGATGTTGCAATCAAGGTGAAAGCACATCAGTCCCTCTTGATGCGGCAGTGATTGAAGTAAAGCATAAGCTCGTGCTGCAAAACTCGGGAGCCGTGGGTTCAATCCTCATCCCAGCACATTTCAATCTGAATGAGCGTCGTACCAGCATGCGGTCCTGTGTCACTACTGAGCCCAGATTAGCGGTCTTTAATGTGCACATACTACACTGGCTAAATTTCTCATCTACAGCAAGTAAGAATGTTTATAAAACCTCTTGCAGACTAACTGACCGCTGTATAAGCACCAAACAACAAATTTGACAGCTGACTCTTGATGCTTCGGAAAGAAATCTCTATTTGCCCCCACAAGGAACTCGACCCCCTGACATCCAGCTCAGAGACTCTTTTTGTGGGTTTAGGGATAAGGCTATCAAAGTCCCAACAACTGAAGCAGCCTGCAGATCAAAAAATTGCTCAGCCAATTTGGGATTACCCAACGGGCAGTCCTTTCAATTGGCCATTTGTATAGGCTTCTACCTCCGTGAAAGCTGGACAGCACTTTTAAATGAGAAAAGAAGGCACACAGCGCAATACTTTCTAGGTTTTTGAATGCTGAGGCTGCATCTAAAAATCATAAAGAGACTATCCCAGAAATCTTTTTATTGCATACGTTGGTTGCTTTAGTGTTGGGAAAAAAGAAGGACGGGAGGGGGAAGCGGCACAATAAACTCAAAGCCATGCCAAACAAATGGAATGCTGTGGTTTGTCGTAATACCTGGCCTTTGCACACCATTTAGGACCCGCCTGGCAGCACTGCACTTTAATGAGAATGCGGAACGTCAACAAGCGATGACGAAAGATGGAGAACATCAGTGGAAAGTGAAGTCACCGAAGGCAAGGAAGGGGCACCATGTCGTGTGTCCAGCGAAGACAGAGATAACATATGGTAACTATGCACATATATTACATCACCCTTTCAGGCAATGTTGGTGATGTGATTGGCTTCAGTCATTTTGGAGCACCTTTCGGAGCATCCAAAAGTGAATTTCGGAGCTGCAAAAATAATTTTTGGAGCGTATAGGCACACACCTCATTTGCATTCCTACCACTGCATATCTGAAGATTCTTGCGTTGACCTGTCTAACTAGAAGACGCTGTCTATTTTGTCTTCCGACCTCCGTGCAAATTTTTATTGACATCAATTGTATGGCAGGTTTGATTCGCTCTAAAAACAAAACTAGATGTCTACTTCAAAATAGAAACACCAGGCACAACATCATGCTGACTGATGAAGGACAGTCTAAACTGCCGTGAATGGTTCTTTAGGTACACAGTCAAAGGTAAACCAACGTGATATTAGAACAGAATAATATTAGGTACCTGCGACAAGGCAAGACGCAAAATTGCGATGCCTGCTTCGCGGTTTTTGCTTCACTGCAGTGCACCAAAGCATGGCACAACAGAGCTAACCTGCCTGAACAGATCACGAACATGAGAAATTTGCGAGACTTGCGAGTATTGTCAGTGTTTGACACAGATATCAAATCGAGTGGTGTTATTCGAGGCCATAATCAAAGTTCATTTGGCGCTGCCTAATTAGCCCCATCGGGTTGCAACGTCTAAAGTGAAACAAAGTATAGTTAAATATTTACGAAACTCTTGCATGCTAAATAAACTTTGAACAGGCCAAGAATCTGGAGAGAGCGATACCATCGGGGCAGCGGACTGAAACAGCTAGTGGTCATTGCAATGGCTCTAGCTGGCCGGCAGACAGCACAGTGCGTTAGTCATTAGTCGCCATAGTATGCAAGCTATGGAAAGCCAGTTTTCGCATTGTGCACTATGGGTGCTCGCGCTAGTGCTGACAGCACTGCAGCTCCCAACCCCCCTCGACGAACAGTTGCGTTTTTTATGGCCCTTCCACATCAAATCGTGCGGCAGATAAATCGCAAAACTTTCTAATGAGGGTCTAAAAGCATGTGTTTGGAGACGCAGATAGCCATTTTTATTTTTTTACTAGACTCCGACGGTTCACCAGTTCACTCTTTTATGCTTTCTAAAGTAAAACCTGGTCTGTCTCTTGATGACTTCTGGTCTCATTTCTTTCAGGCTATGTCCAGGAGCTGATGGCTGTGGCTGTTGAAATGTGCGGCTCTTCAACCTTTCTGAAGAAGTTTCAGGCCGCAAGAACACCTCCAAAGCCAAATATGAGCGACCAATCGGAACGGCCATCAAAAAAAGAGTTAATTGACTCCAGAGTCAGCCGCTTTGCCAAGGCGAAGCCGCAGATTGTGTAACTTATCATTACGATCTGAACTTTATTCTTTATTTATTCAGGTAGCTCCTGCAGCGCCGTTGAGGCATTATTGCAGGGGGCGAACAACATAGAAAAAAACATTTCTGCATTTGCGGCACAAACAGTTTCAACACTTAAATTGTTCCAATCCCTAATGGTCCTAACAAAGAAAGAATTTTTGCACAGTTCCGTCCTGGTGGAATATTCGCGTATTTTGTGGATATGATCTTTACGTTGGGAAATATAGTAAGGGGGTAGAAGGTAATGAAAACCGTTAATACCAGTGTGTTTATTATAAATGCTATATAGAAATTTTAAGCGCAAATTTTTCCGCCTGAATGTCAGCAAATCCCAGCCTAATGTACTCTTCATGTCCGTGACGCTCGAAAAGCGGTCGTACAGCCCCAGGACGAAGCGTGCCGCACGATTTTGGATCCTCTCTAAAGCGTCTATGTGATTTTGCTGAGCAGGATCCCACACAGTGCAAGCATAATCTGTAAGAGGTCGAACGTAGGTAAGGTATGCAAGTTCTTTTATTTTTTGTGTAGACCCTTTTAGATTACGCTGGATAAAACCGAGTGCCCGTCCCGCCCTCATGACGACGTCGTCAATTTGCGCATTCCACTTGCAGTATGCTAATAAGGTCACCCCCAAGTACTTTACTTTACCGTCACTTTTTAGTGGTTCATTATTTAAATAATACTGAGTGTGAAGTTGTTTTTTTTTGCGGGTGAAGGTGACATGTACACATTTGCTGACGTTTAACTGCAATTTTGATAGACTGCACCAGAGTTCAATTTGATCCAAATCAGCCTGCAGTTGTGTGGAATCCTCATCGTTTTTTATACATCTATATACAACACAATCGTCAGCAAACAATCTTAGCTGAGAGGTCACGCCAACGTGAATATCATTTATAAATATTAAGAACAGCAAAGGTCCAAGTACCGACCCCTGTGGCACGCCAGAGGTAACTTCAACAAAATCTGATGTTTCACCATCTAGAACCGTACATTGCCGAAGCGAACACAAATATGCCTGTATCCAATTATGTACCGAAGTATCTAGATTCAAAAGTGCCAATTTTTGGATTAAGAGGGAATGCGATACTGTATCAAACGCTTTTCTAAAATCGAGAAACACACAATCAATTTGCTCACCCCTATCAATGGTATAACAAGATCATGATAAAATTCAGTGAGTTGTGTAGTACAAGAATAACCCAGTATACCAATATCATGTGGCTCTCTTCAGCTGTCTTCTACTTAAAACATTTTTTTAATTTATTTATAATATACCGCAGGCCAGTGATGGGCCCAAGCAGGAATGGATGCTGTTTTTCTTCACACGGTACTTAGAATTTATACATAAAACGAAAAGGAGGGGCGATTGAAAACACATAAACTACATAAAACACAGAGTACACTTTAATAAGCTGTTCAATTGATCATAGAACATTCTCCAAAGTAAAAACATGGGGAGGCAAGGAGATCCGATCTGTTACACTTCTGGGGAAAAAAAAGTATTTAAAAGCATTTGTGCGAACGAATATGGGAGTTATTTTTTGTGTGTGGTCATGTCTTGTCTGTTTAGTAGATGGCTGAACGTAGGATGATGACTCGAGGCGAAGTTTGTGATACCAAAACTGAAAATTGAATTTTAATCTAGCTACCTTCTTGCGATCTTCTAGAGCAGTGGTTCTCAAATGGGGGTCCGCGGACCCCAAGGGGTCCGCGAAGGCATTCTAGGGGTCCGCGAAGCCCGGCCTCATCAGTCAAGCCCAACAATAAAAGTTGTCTTTTCTCAGATTGAGAAGAAATGTTTCAGTTTTCGGGCAAAATTTTATGTGTGTTTGTCAATAAGAGAGGTCTGCTTAACACTAGCCTTTAGTTATATCCATTTATTTAATCAGTATTATATTTAACCCAAGCTTTTCCTCACTCATCATCATGAACGGGGTCCTCCGTCCTTTCCGCCGATCCAAAAGGGGTCTGCAAAACATTGATCGTTGAGAACCACTGTTCTAGAGGAATGATATTGGTTCTAATTAATTTGGTAGTAGAGTCATGCCGGCGATAACAATTATATGTAAAATGAACTGCTAGTCTCTGGACCTGCTCAAGCCTGTTAATATATTTTTTCGTAAAGGATCCCATCTAATGCAAGCGTACTCCGACCGAGACCTTATTAGTGTGCTATAAGCTAGAAGTTTGACATGACAAGTTTGTTCTGTTTGAATAAAATACCGGAATGAGAAACCCTATCAAATGCTTTGCTCAAGTCGAGAAAAATTACGTCGACTCGGCCGGGTTTGTCGACTATTGAAGCGAAAGAATTAGTAGAAATAAGTTTTGTGGTAGTGGAAGGGCCTCTCCAGAAGCCATGCTGAAAGGCGAGATGATGTCATGCTTACCTAAGAATTCAGTCATGTAATTAGAAATTATATGTTCTAAGAGCTGACATTATGTGCTGGTAAGTTTTATGGGATGGTGATTAGTTAACAGTGAACAATGTCCCCTTTTAAAGGCAGGTACAACATGTGCAATATGCCAACCTAAGGAAACAACACATGAAAACAAGGAATGAAAAATGACAACAAGGAACGTAGCAAGTGATTCAGCGTGACGACGAAGGAAGGCGTGGCGAATATTATCAGGATCACACAATGATTTCGGCTTCAAATTTTACGAACTCTTGACTAATCTGGTTGAATTATCGAAAGAAGTCTGTCGCGGGCCAAGATGTGAAAACAGATTAAAATCAGTGGCCATTTTCTGCTTGTGACTCATGGTTTCTTCAATTCTAACGGAATCCACGGTTTTCTGTTCATTTGTAGTGAGAATGTGCCAAAATTTTGTTGCATGTTAGAATAGGAAAACTCTCTACCTGCACGAATTTTTGTCATAAGTGTTTGCTTTAAATTTCGAGTAGTGGAACTGTTGGACCAAAGCTTTCCATTGTTTTATTTTTTGTACCAGATGAATTGGGTCTCGGGTGATCCAAAGGTTCTTAACGGTGTACGTTCAAGACAAAAACGGTGCAGTGTCGCTTTCAAGCCTTTCTTTTTGCGTCTAAACATATTTCTGGCCTCGTCATTTGCTAAGATTGCTCCGCGGACCACAGCAATTGGCTCTTCAAGCGCCCCGCAAGAAAGTTGACGGACAAGCAGTTCTGAAAGTATGTTACGAATAAATCTGTGGTGTTATTATGGCAGGTTCATTAGGCACGGCAAAAAGATACAAGTGAGCTGGTAAGAGTAAAATGATTGAAAAAATCCCCCAAACCAGGTTAGGCGTTTACTGAGCCTCCAAAAATCTTGTGTACTGCTCGGACACGAATTCTCCAATCCGTGCCACAACACACGCAGGTAGAACTCGCCTGTTATGCCAGCCCAGCCTCTGCCACAACCACCTGGCGAACTGCCGGTAGGCAACAAAACATAGCCGACTGCAAAGAACAAATATAATACATATAGTCGGCGAAGCACCGCTTGCATTTCGCACGAAATGAATCAACAATGTTGGTGCCGGGCCGTCGCACTGCAGCAGCGCAGCCGAATCAAAGTTTGAGAGCTTACGTACTTGCTCGCTCCACGGTTCATTTGGAACCCTTGCTCTTGCAGCTCCCAGTACTTACATTACCCGTTGCACAACGGGGTCCAGACATAGAATGCGAAAATATGCATGGTTGATGCAGCCGTTGTTTTGAATTGGGACGGGGGCGGCGCACTCCCGGCAGCAGAAGCACTCTCGAGCGGTCGGCGCTAATATGCACCACTTGCAAGTGCACCTTCAAAGAAATATATCATTTTATATCTTTGTTACTTCCGTGCATCTGAATATACGGCCGAAACTTAACCTACCATTCCGTACTTTGAAGCCGCCCCACTCCTCGTCGTCCGATTCCGATGAAGAACTGGAGTCGTCGTCGAAAGACTCGCCGCACTTCTCAACAGGCATACCGGCGTATAGGACTAGTCCCATGCTGTCGCTATAGCGCAACATATGTAATTGCATCTCGCTCAGTTGCGATGTATTCATGGCTATCGCAGCGATGAGAGGCGCCGATTCAGAAAAACATCGATGACATCAGCGCCATCAGCGCAGTAAAACTAAAACCTACCGGCACACCGCCAACTCTCCGCCGCTAACGCTCCCATTCTCCTACTGCCGGGAGAACTTCCGGTTCCGGAAGCAGTGTACGTCACGACTTGTTTTGCGGTCAGTGGGAGAGAAAGAAAAAGTCGATATTTCATTAATTTTTTGTGTAAAAGTTAATGAACCGATGCGAAAACGGACGCCTGTTCGGCATTCAGTGAGCATTGACGGTTTAATGTAAAGGTTATCGGGCAAAAGTAGAAAAGGTCATTTCATGGTCCCTTTAAGGAATTAAAAACCTCAAAAGTAAAAACAAATGAACTATTTTTTGGGCGGTCAGGTGTCTCATTTAGGTAGCTGGGTATTTATTTTGACGAAAACCACGAGTCTGGAAAACACAAAAAATGACACTCAGGTTTGGATGATGAGTTTGGTAAACCCAAAAAAGGATTGGTGCGGCAGTGATAATAGAAAAAAATGTCAAGGTTAGAAATTAACTCGCAGCAATATTTGAGAAGAATTGTTTTTAATACGAGTTCAGTGATAATTGCAATGACTGGCCAGGCAAAGATTTTGGGTCTATAGATAGCCCTTGGGGGGGGGGGGGGGGCACACAGTTCAAGCAATGTACCAGTCTTAATTTGGTGACATATAGGCGCAAATAGTGGTTTGCAATAATGAAAAAGGTGCAAACTGGTAGAGTTTGACGTCATCTAAATAGAGTGTAAACACGCACATGGTACGCTGATTAAGACTGAAACAGCGCTACATTTTACACTAGCGTTGAGCGTATCGAAAGTTAAGGGTGCATCTAAAGCTAAAGCTTGTACACGTATACTGCTCAGGCCGTAATGTTTGAATGTCCATAGTACTGTATTACCCTCAAGTTTTGTGTAAGTTGTCTCCTGATTGCTTACAACAGAAAGAAGGAAACATTCTAGCTCTGGGTTGATAGAAAAACTCCACCTGCTGATACCTGCCAATAATCTCGGCGCCGCTGATGAGTATTCACTGCGTGCCAACGGTCGCGTGCTTAGAACGAGTTTTTCCCAAGTGATTTCATACGATCGGCACTTCTTGGCAAACAACATTGTTTGCTCACGCAAGCGGCCACATGTGAAGTTAAGAATATTTTGTATTGATTGTGGCACTCGTGGCAAGTCGCATAGTTTTTCTCTTTTTTTTCTTTTTTTTTTACAATCTGCAAAAAAGAATGTTTCTCGGTTAACTTGGTCTCCATGCATGTAGCATACAAAAGAGCACGAGCTGAATCGTAGTGGAAAGAAAAACAATAATGTTAATCAAGTGTGTAATCACGTGAAAACTGAGAGTATAGCACATATGCAGAAAGGAAGTTTTGTCCAGCAGTTGCAGCGTTGTTCTCGTGTCTTCTCGTTGGGTGCTGTATTTCAGGCATGCACGCAAAAGATGCTGATAATGAAGCTAAATAATCGTACTTATCAATTATTGGACCAATTTAATTGGACTAATTTTATCCACAAACCAATCCGACCATGTACTAAACTTTTTTTTATTTTTTTTATACGTGGTGCAAAGTAATCCCGCCCCATATTTGTATGGCGTTAGGAACGAAGCAGCATACGAAAAGCGCCCTTCAAACGACAATAATAATAATTATTAAAAACTGCCGGATCTCCGCTGGAGACTCCGAGGCACAGTGGAGTAGTCGTCACAATAAAAAATCTAAAGAAACAAAATAAATAGCCTAACGGTCGTCGGCGCCGTCATAAGGCCTCGCCAAGTGCGGAGTATAACTGTCTTGGCATACGGTATGTATTGTGCATTCGTTATTTTATTTTATTTTCTACCACGTCAAATTTTGACGCCACGATTCTCTACCTCCTCCGTTCCAACGCGTTGTTTGTTATTAATTTAACAAATCAGCTTCAAATAAGGGTCGTGGCACCCTGTAGAGTAGAAAAAAAATAAAAAAGGAATATTTCGAGCAGCCAGAGCCGCACGGCTGCTCTGGCCGCTCTGGCCAGAGCAGCTCCTCTCATCAAAGACGCCGTCCCAAACTCCAACGGCTCCCTTATTTTTTTTGTCTTTTTATTCACTTTGTTACTTCATTTTGTTGTTGGGTTCGACTGCTCCCTTCTCTGTGACGATGCCGTCTGTGGACATACGTTTGGCGTTTGTTTTGTCACGCGATGGTGTGGTCCCACCGATCAACCAATGAGTTTGTTAGAATTGTGTCACGAGGTAAAAAATGGCGGATGAAATAAAAATAATAAATGCAAAGAAGCGCGCAGTTCCCCCTCGGCGCTTTATTCCTCCAGAGGCGAGCATCGCTGTGCCATGGCGTTCAGCTTGTGCCGTCTTCATGGCGCCATTTGTGGTAGCGGTCGAAACGGTCCTCTTCAGGGCCCCCATATTTTGCAAACGGAGCTGTGTTTTGAATGCGGCACCCCGTGTCTCTGTAAAAAGTTCACAGGAAAGACCCAGCAAGGGTATGTGGTCCCCAACTTGGATATCGGGTGTTATGATTCAAATAAAAATTGTTCTTGCTTATTTCGCGCCTTTGATCCGAATAAATGCCGCAGTTGCAGTCGTCCCGCGGTGCTGTTGCTCGCCCATTCGCCGTCGGCGTGCCTCAGCTTCGTCGTGTTTGCTAGCACCTCACCGGCGAAGGCGGCCTTTGATCCGAATAAATGCCGCCGTTGCAGTCGTCCCGCGGTGTTGCTGCTTGCTCGATCGCCGTCGGCATGTCTCAGCTTCGTCGTCTTTGCTAGCGGCGCACCGGCGGAGGCGATTGATCTGACACACCGCGTTCGGCTTTGGCTAGCAGACGGCGTTCGTAAAATGGCGTCAGCTGTTGCTAGCTTCACGCGGCGGTACCGCGCGTGCTTCCATGCAGTCGGCGTTCGTTGCCATGGTGACGGAGAGGAAAGCAGACGAACTTTATGTTGCGGAAGAACGCTGCGGCGCAGCGATACCAGGTGAGTTCTAAGGCCCTTTCCGCATGCTTTTCAATGGGCGGAAGGCGAACAAAAAGAGTTCGAAATATGGACTTAACGCAGAAGGCTGCATTTCTCCAGCGCCTCATAATTTGACGAGCCTTGCACGAAAAGCATGTTTCTAAACCGGAGTTTGGAGATCGTTTTTTTTTACAAGTCTAAAGTACCAATTTGCCGAAAAACGATCAGCGTTCACCACCTCAACTTGCAGCGAGACCAAGCGGCCACGTGATCTGGTGCCGATTATATGCCGCCAATGTTGATCATATCCACGCGCTGGGGTTGGCAAAGCACAGGACACGCGCTGAGTTCCAGACACTGTTACGGCTCTGCTATTGTCGTCATCGCAGCGATTGGACACGGGCCACTACCCGAATGCTTCTCGAGCTATCGATCATAACGAGCCCAAATACAGTGCCTACGCAATGCTCGGATCCAATTTATGAGCCGCATTTAAATATCGTCACATTTCGGTACCGCTCCCGCCCAGCTACGTCATCAAGTTTCGCGAAGGAGAGATTAAATGAAACGCTCGGTTTTGTCCTTGAAATTACACCGCAACAAAGGAATTTTTTGGCCAGTGGCGTTGCGTGTTGGTATCCTTGAGTCATACTAGTGCCAGTAAGCTCGTTTAAAATGAAAGACATTCCTACTGACTATCGTTGCACCGGCCCTTTAATATCATTGCCACTTAAGAGCCAG